ACCTTAAGCAACTACCAAAAAAAAAAAGGGTGTATTGGGTTTCCTTGTTGCAGCAGATGAAGTATTTTTCCTGACCAGCTCCAGTTTTGGTGGCTGGTTTTGCTTGGGTTTAATTCAATCTTCCTCAGTAGACCTTCGTGGGTTTGGGTATTCAGTGGGAATTGAAGGTGGTTAAAATACACAGACCTTGCGCAGCCCGAAGTATTATGCTCTTATATCTGCTATCGTTGGATTGGAAAATGGAAATATAGATAGAATCCAGAGTTTTCTTTTTTTTTTTAAATTTCTCCCCCCAGCCAAATTAACCCTGCAAATCTAGCTTTAAAGAAATAGCGCCTGACGATGTTGCTGCTGTATCTGAGCCCCCCAAAACGCTAGCGGCCGAGGGGACAGCCTCTTCAGAAAGTACCTCGGTGACGCAGAGCCTACCTCCCGCTCGCTGTCACGAGGATATAGGCAAACCCTTTGGAAAATTCACCCCCGCAGCGAGCTCACCAGTCTCCTTGAGCCCTTGGAAATTGGGCTCGCGAGAAAGGGGAACGTGGAACAGGTCTATTTTTTTTTTTTTTTTTCTTATTTTCCCCCGTAGGTGTAGCTTTTTGCCCCTTGGAGTTGGCATTTTATCCTTCGGGAAGGAAAAAGTAAGCGTTCTCTCCTGCACGGCACACGTGAGACCCAAATGCAAAGCCTAGCACAGCACCACTCGCTTTGGAAGGACCTTTTAAGTGGAAAAAAAAACTCTCGTAGGGTTTTTTAGTTGTTTGGGTTTTAAGATAGCTCATGAGAAGCGCATTGTAATGACGCACAGGCGATGTTTTACCAACCTTTTCTTTTTTTCTCCAACAAAGACTTTTTAATTTGCTTCGATACTTTAGAGTTCGTTTCCTTGCAAGTCTTTTTGGACCCATGCAAATGCCCTTGAAACGAGTCACGTTTATCGAAACAAATTGTGCGTTGCAGGAAGCAATCTCAAAATGCGCACGCACCCATGCACCTATCCATGTGTAGGTGCGTGTGTGCGTGTATACCTATAGAGAGATATATTATTTCCCCAACCGTTTGTTTTTGGGGGGGTTGGGGTTTTCTTTTTTGGTTTCTGGGTTTGTTTCCCCCCCCCACCCCCCAGGATATTAACCAAAAGGTGTTTTAAAGTCATGGCATGAAAACTCCTAAATGTAAATCTGAGTACCTTGTGATGCTAATTAACAGGTTTTTCTGAAACTTTATGTGATGCTTAATATTTTTCTTAGGAAGTTTTGTTTAATGTTAGATCATTGTTCTGGAGGATGTTGGTCCTACTGGCGTTAAACTAATGGAAATAAAATGCATGTGTTACAAGTGTAGAAACGGTGAAGAATTAAGTGTGAACTTACTGTACGATACTGATTCTGTCTTCAAACAATCTGTTTTGCTGTTCAATAGTTGACATATGGAAATGCCAATGTACTGTAATTTAGCACTTTTCCAATGGACCCTGTTCTCACTACACCCGGGGGAAGAAGTGGGTTTGGCTTTGGGGCTATCTGGATTCGACCCCTGGACCCTTTCTGCGTGTTTTGGCACCAGAATTGGCCAGGGGGAAACTCAAATTTGAGGTTTTCTCATCGGTTCGGTGGCTGGCGCGGGGCAGAGGGGCGGTGGCTCTCCATTTCCCTGGCCAAACCAGGACAATTTGGGTGAAGACCTTGCTGCGGGTGGATGTGCTGGCGGCATCCCGGTCCCCCGGCGCATCCCCCCTGGCAGCCAGGCTGGGGAGGAGCTGTCTGAGCCAGGGTGGGATGGAGGCGCATCCGAAAAGCAGCCGAAGCAATCTGCGGACCCTAAAATTAAAAAGCAGAAGGATTAAACTACCAGCCGCCTCCCTCTGGCCCAAAGCCTCCTTTCCTAGTGTTAACAGGGTGCAAAGTGTTACTTGTCATGTACTGTACTGAAAGGGTTAATTGATCAGTGACTGTATTGTACTGTATGAAAACTCATGAATTGCCTTGTATTGTTTCTAATGGACTGTACCATGTCCCCCCCTGCCCCCACCGCCCGTTCCCGACCTGTCCCCAGGTTTTCCAAACGACGCATGTCATCAGTTAGGTCCTCCAAACTCTCTGGTGCTAACTCTTCCGTATCCGATGGTGCTTCTGCGGACGCTAACTGACGACATGCCGATCCAGAGCTTGAAGTTCACGACGTCTTTCTTGTCTGTTTGTATGAAGTCGACACACACACACACACACACACACGCTCACGAGAAAAAAAAAAAAAAAAAAAAGAGAGAGAAAAAAAAAAGATAAACTTGAATTTGTTTCAAAGCATCATTGACAATCTAATGTTTTCTATGTCTGCTTTTATTTGGGATGGCTTTTCCAGAAAGCAGCGCGCCAGCACCTTCGCACCGGGAGGGGATTTCGTCCCGTTCACACCACGGCAGCTCCTCTGGCATCCGAGGTGAGCTGCTCCCTCGCTGGCTTTTCAGGCTCAGCCGTGGGAGGTCGATCCATCAGGAGCCAGCGAGGAAGAGGAGGGGCAGGTGCCTTCAAAGATGCCCGACCATCCCTGTGCCCACCCCAATCCGTACGTAGGTGGTAGGTGGGCACTGAGAGTCTCGGGGCGGGATGAAGCTGCCCCTTGCTTTGTGGCAAGGATTGGCTTTTTTATGAGAAGAATGGAGACAGAAAATTGGAGTCGAGGGGAGCGGGAGCTCCTAAAGGCACCTCCGTCTCCTTCCGGCATTGCTCATCTCCGCTGGCAGAGGAGCCGCCTCCCAAACCTGAGGTTTTGCAGGTGACACCTCGGATGGTGTGAAGGGACCCATCCCCTCCCAAACCCCCGCCCTGCCGCGAGCTGCTTTTTGGACAAAATAAAATCTGACTATATTTTATATCGATTTGAAAACAAGGTCTGATATTTACCCCTGTTCTCAACTGAATTTGCATATTGTTGTTTGCCACGATATTTGTTCTGTCTTAAAATAAATTTGCTTACTTGTGTAGTCTTAACTGTCTGCTCTGATTCTTATAATCGGATTTCTTGCCACTCCAAGGTGCCTGCACGGCGGCTCTCCTTTGGGCGCTTCCCATGAAGGCGAGAAGGAAAGCTGTCTCCCTGGGAGGGGAAATCATTTCAGCCGAGACTCAGACTGTAAATGTTTCTCCCTCGGTTATCTCGCGTTCATCTCCCCGGGGCTTTTCAATTTGATGTCCTTTTTTTTTTTATCCCCAGTCTTTCATCATCAGACCCTTCTATCCGCTAAGTGCGTGACAGAGGAACGGCCGTGCTTCAGCCCGCTTAATTTAAGAGACTAAATTGTTGCTAACGCGTTTCTTGAGGGTAAGTCATTTCCGACGGCAGTATTTTGCATTTGAGAATGAAGGGATTTATGGCTACGAGCTCGCTGGAAGCAACCAGCGGCCGAAAGCTGCGGGCCTATCAGCATCAGCATCTAACATGGGTTTGGTATGACAGCGCATTGTGTTAGTGGGAAGTTGGCATCGGTCGCTGGAGACATCACGGCGGAAGGCAGTGCCCTCAAACGGCTGGAAAACCGATTTGCGTATGTGTTCCCAGGGACGTAATCAAATCAGCCAGCGGCATAAGGAATAAGCAAATATTCCAGGTTTGCACACAGTCGGAAACAAAACCTGTTGCAACTTCAAGGTTTTGAGGGGGTTTTTTCTTCCCAAAAAAGGTATTTTTGGATTGAAAATGTTGCAGGCTGCTGCAGTAGGGCATTTTATATTCCCTTAAAGATGTGTCTGTATCTAAGGGGAACGTTTCAGGGGAGCTCGTGCAAGGGCTCAGGCTGTCGCCCTTCCTTCCTGTCAGAAACCATCCCTGCGCATCTGTTATGGCCACAAAGTCCATTTTCAGTGATTTATCCGCCTCTCCAGCCACCGTCTCCCCCCTCTTTGCCTCTTTCCTCCCCTCTGACCTCTCTCCAGCTTTTTTTTCTCAGATTATCAAGGTTTTGTGGACGTTTCCTGCTGCTCCTCACAGTACAAGCAGCGCTGCCTATGGTGACGAACGAGATGGGCGGCACGGGAAGGAGGGAGCAGCAGAGATGAATCCCATGGGAGGAAGCTGAGAACAAGAAGCCTGGCTTTGTGGGGGGTGCCATCAGGTACGTCTGCCTTCCATCCTCAGCAAAACCGCGGTGTCGGCACCCCAAAACCCTCCTTTGTCACCTTTTAGCCTCAAACTGGGGGGTGGTGGGCTCCGCTTCATCCCCAGGAGCGCTGCGCATCAGTGCATCACCCCAAATTATGCAATTTCCTTCCCCAGCTGATTTTTGGTGGCTGCGCCCCTCACCGGAGCAGCTCTGCTGGCACTGCCTCTCCCATGGTTGTGCCACCACTGTCACGAAAGCGCCGGGGCTCAGTGGCAGGCGCTGCAGAAGAGGTGCGGGGTGACAGTGAGGTGTGGGTGATGGGGCCCGAGGTAATGCTGTGACGGTGCCGGGGGGTGGGGGTGGGTGCCTGTGGGGTGACACAGACCCATGTGGGGCACATGGTGAGGGTGTGGGGTACGGGGTACCCTGTTGTGGGGCACAAGGGGCCGCAGGTGCCCTTTGGGGGCCATCCGAGACCCGTCCGGTGACCCCGCCACCCGTGGAGAAGGGGACAGTGCCACCAGGAGCTGTTATTTCCCAGGGTGGAATAACTCCCTGCAATGAAAGTTGCAGCAGGGGAAATTTGGATGGCTCTGAATGGGCAGAAAGAAAAAAAAAGGAAATTCAAGTAGCTCTTTATTTCTTTGTGGGCTTTATTCCCCCAAGCAAGGACGGCTACTAGAAGCCACCTGGTGGCTCCAGTCCGAGGACATGTCCTGGTTTGTGCACCCTCAGCTGCTGACAGAAGAAAGGGCTTTGCAGATTTATTTTTTTTTCCACTGCGAGGTGTTTTTTTCCCCCTCTCTAAACCACAGGTGTACTGTTAGGAATACGCCGCTCTTTGGGAAGCAGTGGATAAGCCCAGGCAATGCCTTCCATAGGCAGTGGTGGCCGTAAGTAAATATTTCTGATTTAGGTCCCCTTGCGTTTTGTATCATACCCTTTGGGGGTCTTTTAAAACCCAGTTTCAGTGGAAAAAAAATCACAAAAATAAGAAAGCAAGTGTACCCAACGAGTGGTTTATTGTTACAAAGCCAGCATTTTTTTTGGTGGCGTTTTATGCTGCTTTCACCAGCGTTGCCCATAAACTGGTTCTGGTCTAGCTGGCTACCGGGGATGGCCAATGCAACTGTTCTTCCCAAGGTCTCTTTCAAGCACCCCATCGGTTTTTGCATGGCAGAGGAAATGCTGCGGGCCCGGGCAGGCGTGCTCTCCGCCAAGCTTGCAGCCAACATCCCGATCACAGCGTAGCACCGCAGGCTCCTGCCTTCATTAGTTTTGTCTTGGCAAGGCTTTCCAATTTTCCCTGCCAGGGAGTCTGCTGAACATCTCCCGCTGCTGCCTGGCGAGCAATTCGGCAAGCTCGGTCCCTGCCACACCTTTGCAGGGAAATCCGCGCCTCTCTTCCCGAGAGCTCGCTCTTCCAATAAACCACGCCGGGTTGATCCGAGGACGGTCCCGGTTCAGGCTGCGACAGCCGTAGGTGCGAGGTTTTGCTGGTCCTTCGCTGACTCCGGGGAGAGGACCTGCCATCTCGGATCGATACCTAGAAACCTCTTTAGTTCCTGATAAGGAGCCAAGAGAAAATACATCTATTCAAGCTTTCCACAGAGGTTTTTCCTATTAAACATTTTAATGGTGGTAAGGAATCTGTAAATAGAAATTTATCACCGAAGTGATGCGTACATGGATATATAAACCTGTGTCTCCGTATACAGGGATAGAAAGGGGTTGTAGTTACCAGATAGTTGTTTCCATTCTAAAACTTAGGATAATAATCAACTTCTTAGTTAGCAAGTACAAAACTAACTAGCTTAACTAGCTCGCTGTTCTCTGATTTTGCTGCAAGCCTTGGGGTACGTGGTACCACTCCCAGCAGGAGTGATGCGAGACTTCCACGATAACACACGGCTGCCCTTCTGATTTTGTTTCCTCGTATTGAATAATGAGGAAACCTTAAAAATACGAAAGACGTAAACAAAAGCCGCTCAGCATTTGTTTTAACATTGCAACTTAAACCCCGGACGCACTTTTTTGGGTCATTTTGGACAAGCCACAGGATGATTTTTACAGCGGGTGTCAGTCTCCCTGACGCTCTTGAAGGCACACAGCGCGTGCTGTCCTTGGGAAGCTCTCGGGTGGAAAGATTTATTGTCCACGGCCACGCGGGAGGTTCCACCTTATCCCAGGGCCGTGAAGTTCTGCACTGCAGTGCCACAAATGCAGGCAATTCGGTTAAAAATAACCTGCTGCTAACAAATGAGCAAATAAGACATCCAGGTGTATGCAAAGGGTTCCTGGCAGGCGGCTCTTCTGGGTACTGAAATGGCAAACGATGGGCCATCTTTAACAGTAGCTACAAAATCAGATTTTTTTAATGTAAATATATGTATATATACATATATATTGCTCCCTTTTACTTTGGTTAATGTCTTTTTAGTTGGAAAGTTCGCTTCACAGACATGATGTTTTGAATCCTTTAATTTTCTCCTTCACCTCAGGGTGAAGTCCACAAGTCTGGCTGCTTTACCCAGCGGGGATTAAGGAAACCGTGACCGGCTTCGGTGTTCCCAGCAGAAGAACACCTGCAGAGCCTGAGTATGTCCTCAGCAATTCTCAGCTTTTCCATAAGACATGAAAAAAAAAAACACAACAGGGACTTCACTTACCTTATTCTGCTTAAAAATTCCTGGAAAGTTTCCTACCAGTGATCTCCTAAAATCTGGGTTCTCGCTGCCTGGGCCAGGCACTTGGAACTGGAGCGTACCCAGCACTCCCGACCGCAGCAATATAATAACCAGAGTTATTGTATCATTATCACTCCACGTTAATATTACATTCCGGTATAGAGGAGACAGTAAAGCAAGGCAAAGCTTGCAGGAGGTCAAATGAAGAGCTGGGTGTGCTGCAGTAGGTAGAAACGTTCATGGGTGAGTCGCAATTTAGGGCTGACCGTGAAAAGAATCGAGTACCAGACTGTAAGCAAATACGTTAATTATTACTCTTAATGTTTATGTTAATTAATACTGTGCTGTGTCTGCTATGTCAGGGTACGTGCGCTCCATTTTCGATCGCCCTTGCGCTCCCTGGGTAGCCCACCTCACAGCAAACTCTCCCTTAACCAAGTCGTGCGGCAGCAATCATCGCAGCCTTGGAGGAGGCACGGCCTCTGCCGATCCCTGCCACGTCTAGCACCGCGGGATAAAAATCTGAATTTGAATTGGGCAGTGGAGCACGGAAGCCGTCCCAGCCTGCTTCAACCCAAGGGGTGCCTCCCTCCGGCCCCTTCTTCCTTCTCAGAGCGGGAGGTGGCCGTGCAGGAGAGCACAGCCACCCTGGCAGCGTGGAAGCTCCCCGTTTTGGAATTTCAGTAGGACTTAAAAGTCAAGCACGTGCTTTGCCCGCTCCCCATTAGGCCCCTGCCGCTGTCACCGAAAATCGGGAATAAAACTCCTTAACGCTTGGGCATGTCAACAAGCAGGCGTTACTTTATTCGGCGCCGGCTGCACGGGGGAATCTCTCCGCCTAGCATGCCCACCGTATATTGTAACACCTTCTGCTTATATCAGTCTCACATATACATATGCATCACTTTTCTTGGAAAAACGATACATATACATTACATTTCCCAGAACCCAGATTATAACAGTTGCACAGTAATTGTGCCCGCAGCTCGAGTCCCTTAGAGGGTCTCCGGTGGTCCCTGGTGGTTCCTAAGAGAAGAACTCTCCTTGAATTTTCCTTGAACTCTGGATTCCTTTCCCTTACATGGTCACGAGTTGGCTCATCGTCTTGTCTGTTGTAACGCTTGGCCTCCTTATCCGGTTTCAACTGGTTTTAGCACTTTTTGCAAGATGTGGGTTTTGCGCAGCAAACATTTTGCTCAGTCCGAAGGTCGCCTTGGAACAATCTTGTAACAATTCCCCACTTTGAGACTCCCAAGACTTTATAATGCTCTTTTTACTTTCTTGAGCACAATATCTATCCTCAGGGAGGCGTGGGTTACACCTTTGTCCATTACCAGTCCATTTGACACATAATTCTGCCCAACCTGAGGGGATTACTCTCCAGGGGAATCCTGATCCTCCAGTCATTATTTATGAACACACCCAACAATCAGTCACGTTCACTGTTTTTGCAAAGCTTATTTTCAAATCCTCGGATGTGTTCTGGTGTGCGACCCCCACCATTATGGCTCCTCCTCCTGACGTAGCCCACCCCAAGGCACACAACATAAAAAATATTATCATTTTCTCATCAGTCTTATCTGTAGATCTCCCATCGGCTGTACTTTCCACTGGGGTTCCTCCGGCACTGGGGCTGGTTTATTTGGGTAAAATGTACCCATAAGGTTATCCCGTCAACCTTCACCACCGTATGTATAGTCAGTAGAACTTGGAAGGGTCCTTTCCACCTCTCCTTGAGAGGTTCATCACTCCACGTCCAGACATAGACCCATGGATGCCAGGGGTGCACTTGAACATCTAAGGACCCTGGAGAGGCCAAAACAATAAATGTGCAAAGATAAATGTGCAAGGATGAACGCACCCTCCACAGAGAGGTAACATATTCTCTTAAATTATGGTTTCCCCACTATGCGGCTTTTTCTGGGAATGACTGTGACTTGGTACGGTCTCTCATATAAGATTTCCTATGGACTTACCTTATCCTTGGAGTTTGGTTGAATCCTCCGAGTTCGTGCTTCTTTTTAGGGTTTACCGTTTTCAAACACCTCTGCCCAATACTACATGCCGAACAGCATCTCCTTATTTTTTCCTGCTCCTTCTTTTCACTTCTCTTTTCTTTTTCTAAAGATAAAATCAGGGGATCTTGTGGTGGAATATTAATACCGCAATCTCTCTGCCACTCTGGATGATTCTGCAAAGTGAAAAACATCTGCCTACGTAACCTCATCCCATTTTCCTTCTCTCCGCAAGAACAACATTAACTGTAACACAGTTATAATCCAAAGATCCATTAAAGGGCCATTTCTCACCATCTTCTTGTTTGTACAGAGGCCACCACTGGTTACAATATTTGATTAGTGTTTTCTTATTCACATTCCCACCTGGTTGTCCCCCTGTATCTTTCCAGTGTGCTAGGACACATCCTAGGGGGCTTTTCTTTACAATACCACCACTTTGCTGTCCCCCCATCCTTCCTTATTGATTCTGTATCTTCATTAATTCTCCCACAGACTGTCTTAATAACCTCGACTTGTCGCCCTTTATTTTCCCACTCTGACCATGTTCCACAATTTTCACAGTGAAGATCCCATCCAAACGCTACCCATACTCACTTAACAGTCGTATCCTGTCTCAGTTACTCATTCATTCACCAGTCACACCAGACTGGCTCATTCATAGTTAATTATCAATTTTACAATGCCTGACGGGTATATCCAAATTCAATGTCAACAAGCCAGTATCCGAGTTCAGTATCAATAAATTGGTATTGCCAAAAGTACAAAACTTATGCAGGTTACATAAATGTACCAATACCAAAAGCACGTTATTGCAAAAGTACAAAGCTTAACCTGCACCCATACCAACCTAACAACCAAAATACACTACCTGCAAATATTTTTGTTACCTTTTCCAGGTCCTCCTTAGATGTCCCTGCCAACTCCTTCCAGGACCTTAAATCCGTTACTGAAAACAGAACCTTAATGGTGACCCGCCCGTGATTCCCAATTGCTTGCCGGAGAGGGGCTTGCAGTGCCTCCCCCCTTTCTGCATCACCGTGTCCCGTTCCCCTTCTAGTTCTCCCCATAATGGGGGCTAAAATCTCCTTTTTCCTCTGAACTTGACTCATCCTCCCGCTTTCTCCTACCCCTTTCTTGCCATGGCGACTCCGGTCTTCTTTGCTCTGGGGCCACCAATAATTCTACGTCCTCCTCCTCTGACCTCCTGTACTTAAAGCGACGCTTCCCAATACTACATGCCGAACATCACCTCTTAGGCTTTCTCCCTTCATCCTTTTCTAAAGCTAAAACCGTGGCGTCACTTGGCACTAAACAGCAATCCATTTCACAACGTAAAGAACAAATCAACACAGGGTACTTTTCACAAGGAGTCACGTGGAGAGGGCAAGGGGGAATGGACACAAGTTGCTCTTGGGGAGATTCCGACTGGACACGAGAGGGAAATTTTTCACCATGACAACAGTCAACCATTGGAATAATCTCCCCAGGGGAGGGGTTGACCTTGCTCTTTTGAGATGCAGCTGGCCAGGGCGCTGGGCCATCTTGCCTAGACTGGGCTCTTGCCTAGAAAGGTTGGACTAGATGATCCTTGAGGTCCCTTCCAACCCAGAATTCGATGATTCTATGATACTTCATGCCGTTTCCCTTCGCGATGGCGAAACATTACAGTTGCAGTTTGGTGTTACACTTCAGAGTTCTGTTCTTTGGCCATTTCTCTTGATCTTCCAAAGTATACACTGGCCACCACTGATTACAATATTTGATTAACTGTTTCCTTGTGAGGGAGTCAACCCTCCCCGGTCCTTCCAATGGTTCAATAAACATCCCAAAGGGGATTTCTTCAGAATTTTTCCCTCGGAGGATTGACCAGATCCCATATTACAATAGAATAACCCTCGGGATCGATCGCCCCTCGGAGGATTGACCAGATCCCATATTACGATAGAATAACCCTCGGGATCGATCGCC